GAATAGAAAGAGAGCAGAGAGTGGATGGCTTCGGAGCGCAGTAAAGGAGCACCCTCCATCCCACACCTGCCGTGTGCTTCACGTGCTGTCTTGGTGCAGACTCACCCCTGTGGGCTGGAGGTGGCAGCCCATTGTACAGATGGAGAAACTGAGGGAGGTTATGCCATGTGCCCAAGGGTTGCCCAGCTGCTAAGTGGTGGACCTGGGGTTTGAACCCACAGATCTCTGGTTGTAACCCCCAGTGCCTCCCTGTGGGGCACCCTCTCAGGCCCTTTCTGTCCCCCCCTCCTCGGACAGTGTCAGCCCGAGCCCTGGGTGGGCCTCCCGCTCCCCAGCGGGGCGCAGCCTACCGAACACGATGAGCCGGATGTGCGTGTCGGTGGAGCCCAGCGGGTTCTGGGCTGTGCAGCGGTACATGGAGCCGTTGAGCTCGGCGGGAACCCGCTCCAGCACCAGCTCCCTCCCGTCGAACTCGGTGCTGCCGTCCAGGAGGCGGCTCCCGACCCGCGTCCATGTGAACAGGGGCTCTGGGAAGACCTCGTTCTGTTGGCCAGAGCAGGGGAAGTCTGGTCACAGGAGGAGCCATTCTGCCAGAGCAGCGAGGGCTCAGAGCCACGGCCCGGCCAGGCCTGGGGACACATGCTTATCGGGTGGGTTAGGGGGGGCTTCCTGCCACACCAGGCAGAAAAGGACTTAGGGCCGGAGAGAAGGTCAAGTCCATGAGGCATGTCTACCCCAGGTTCTAGATGGGTAAGCAAAAACACAGCAACCTCTTGTCCTTTCTCATCGAATTAGCAGACAGATTAGCAGACGGAGGCCCACCGGCTGGGCTGGAGGTGGCGGGGAGGGTCTCAGAGCCTGCTGTCAGGGAGCCCAGTGCCTGGCTGGGGGTCCTCCCACCTCCCACACCCTCCCAGGGGCTCAGAGAGAGGCTGACCTGGAATCCATGGACCAGAATCCTCACTGTGTCCCCGACCCGGGCTCTGCTGGGCGTCATCACGATTTGGGGTCCTTTAGGGGCAACTGTAGGGAGAGGAAGACCAGGTCAGAGGTGTGTGTGTGTGTGTGTGTGTGTGTGTGTGTGTGGTGTGGGGGAGACTGGGCAAGGAAAGCAGGGGCAGGGAAATGGAGGAGAAAGAGCCAGTCCAGTTCTACTCCAGTTCCAGGATGCTCATCATTCATTCATTCATTCATTCATCCATTCGAGCCTGCCTGCGTTCATTCGCACACATTCCCCGAACCCCTGTGACGAGTCAGACCCTGGCTGGGAGCTGGGGATTCAACGGTGCACAGAACACGGTCTCTGCCCCAGTGGACAAGGTGTGGGGATCCTGGCTCTCGGTCCTCCCTGTCCTTACGCCCTGTATCACTTCTCCAAAGCCCCCTGGCACCTCTGAGCGTGGGAGACAGATGGCCCAGGGCACCGCTGTCCTGTGGACAGACAACATCAGGATGGACGAGCCACTGGGATCTGTCCCCTCAGGTTTCAGATGGGGAAACAGAGGCCCATGGGTAACAGAGGGGTCACACAGCCAGCTTTCCACCTTTCCTCACTTTCAGGGCAGGACTCTGGCCCAGAGTCATTCACTCACTCACTCACTCATTCTTTCAACAAGTGATTATCGAGCCAACCCTGTGCCAGGCTGTGGGGCAGGGCTAGGCACAGCGGTGAACAAACCAAGTGTCCGCTGACTTGAGCTTATGATTTAGTTGCAAACAAGTACACAGACAAGAAACTCCCAGGGTTTCTTGGTTAGCGTTATGCAGAGAATCCCGCTAAGGATGGGTAGTGGTCAGTGTCTCTTCCAAGGAGGTGACATTTCCGCTGGGACAGGAAGGTTCCAGGCGGAGGGAACAGCCAGGGGGTGGCACCGAGGCAGAGGGTCAGGGGTGAGGAGGGTGGGAGCTGGGGACAGATCTGGTAGCTTCCTGGGCCATAGTGTTCTGACCAGAGTACCAGGCCTAGGCCACTCTCTGTGAACGCCTCACCGAGTTGTTGGAGGAGAAAGCTCTGTCCCGGTCCAGGGCTGGCCTGGGACCTCCCCCCTCTGCCCCTGCCTGCTCGCCTACCCTCTCCTTCCCACTCAGATGCTCCCAGCGAAATCAGAGCAGCGGGCAACGTGGGTGGTCTCCCAGGCCCTGCTAACTTTCTTCTCTGAGAAGGAGACCAAAGGACTGTTAATTAAATCACAAGCAAGACATCTGTGGTGCCCCAGGGGCGGCCGGAGCCTCACTGGGAAGAGCTGGGCCTGCTTTGAGGCGGGGAAGGGCGGATAAGGCCTGTGGTTGGTTTCTGAGGCGGCACCCACAGGAGCGAGGTGGATCCTGGCCCGGGAGGCGGAGAGCAAGTTCTGCTCTATTCTGTGTGCCTCGGCCCAGTCACACCACCTGGCATTCCCCCCGTGCAAATGGGAACAATGATAACGACCAGTGTCCACGTCCCGCCCTGGATGTTGGGAAAATCAGGAGGCAGAGGTCTGAGGGCCGAGATCCGTCAGGGGCACAGAAGCACCGGGCCCTGTGCTCACGCCTTGTGCAAGATCTCATTGAACTTCACGACCTTTCGAGATCGTCCCAGGGAAACGGAGGCTTAGGGGGCTCAAGTCACTGTCCTCCTTCTTTGTTAACACTCTGTAGGTCGGTCTGCAGGTGGGAAGCGCTGCATGGGGCGGGCAGTGCGGCCCTGGGCTACTCTGTCCGCTCTGTCCTGCGGGGGCCGCACTGTCGGGCTGCGGCCAGCAGAAGGCGGGGAAGGGCGCCCACATCCAGGAGAGGCCTGAACCCCTAAAGGTCAGGGCAGACACCTTCCCCCTTCCAGGTCAGATTCCTCAGGGCCCTGTTTTCTAAAGGCCCATCTCCTCCCCCCAGGCTTGGGCCTGGGCACACGGGCCCCCGAAGAAAGGGACCCCGACCCCCCCAGCCTCCGGCCTGCCATGTCCATGACCCTTACCTGGTAACTGCCCCTGAGGTAACGGGCCTTCCATTCCAGCAGGAAACCTCTGTCCCCTGAGCCAATGGGCCTTTCATTTCACACAGAAAACCTCAGTCGCCTCCTGTGTCCCCAGCTGATGGGAAAACCTCCCCTGACCTTCCTGTGACCCGACTCAGCCACTGTCCCTGGGAAGTCCCGGCCCTGTGCTCTCCACTCACCCAGCAAACCTCCCTCTGCTTCCCACGGTCCATTTCCAACCTTGAAAACCTCCCATGGTTTTAAAAAAGTTTTTATTGATTTTAGAGAGAGAGGAAGAGAGAGAGGGAGAGAGAGACATCAATGTGGATCGGTTGCCTCTTGCACGAACCCCGACCGGGGACTGAAGTGGCAGCCTGGGCACGTGCCCTGACTGGGAATCAAACCGGTGACCTCGGTGCAAAGGATGATGCTCAACCAACTAAGCCACACTGTCCATCCCGGGCAAAAGCCTTCCATGTTTTCTAACACTGATGCATATTCTCGATCCTGATGGACCGGACTCCCGTGACCTCTCGTGTCCTGATCTTACCCAGCGAACTCCTCTGGCGTCCCTGGGATCTCCCCTGCTCTCCTATCCAGCTCAGCAAAGTCCTTACAAACTCAGACTCTGCCCTCCGTGCCTGACCCTGAGTGCGGTTTGCTCCACCGCGTCCCTGTCTCCATGACGACCAGCAGCCCCGGGCCCTACTCCAAGGTTTCCCCACCCCCAGCTCTGCAGGGGGCCTGCAGAAGGGCGCCCCACACCTTACCCAGCGTGACCTCTGCCTGCATGGGCATCGACAGCGCTGGGTGCTTGACCTCACAGCTGAAGAGGGCTTCGTTGTCGATCTGCGGGTTGAGTGTCCAGGTGAGCAGGGCTCGCACCTCCACGGTGCCGTCGCTGCCCGGGGTGTGGCTGTGGCGCAGGAAGTAGACGGGCTCGGAGCTGTGGACCCAGCGGGGGAACTCGCGGCTCACCACCGTCTCGGGGATGTTCTCGGTGGTCGGCTGGAGGAGGATGCTGGGGTCTGGGGTCAGGCCCAGGGAGGGGCGCTCCGTGTAGGGACGCCCACCCCGGTTCTCAGTGTCCATCAGGGACAGTGACCTCTGCACCTTGGTGTCATCCAGGTCTCGGTGCAGGAGGCTGCGGAAGGGCCTGCTGTCCCGGAGGGGGCCAGAGCCTGCCGGCGGCTCTGCCAGCTGCACCGCGTCGATCGCTTCCCCATCTCTTTTGAAATAAACCTGAAATGACAAGGAAGGTACAGGAAAAGGTTTTGTGCCGATGACCTCGACCTCCCACTGGGCTCTCAGAGGGTGTGGCCGCAGGAGGCAGGTCCTTCCGGAGCCTCCTCCTCCTGGTAGCCTTCCTGGTGGCCCTCCTGGTTCATGTCCCTCCAGCATCCGAGACAGAGTCGGCTGGTTCGAGAGGATGGGCAGGTCCAGGGGGCAGGGGCTGTGCCCATCTTTACCACCTCCCAGCCACAGTTTCCCTACTTCATGGGGTGTGGGATGCCTAGAAGCAGGGAGCGGACAGAAGGGCCCTGGACAGTCGGGCAGCCACCAAGGGGTGGTCTGTGCCCACCTGGCGCGAGCAAGTGGATGGGAGAGCAGGTGGAGGGTGCGGAGAGGAAATGAGACGTGGGCAGGATGAGGAAAGGAGCTCTGTGCGGGTGGTCCCTTTGCAGGTTTTGGAGGAGGAGAGAGCAGGTGTGTGGGGGGGAGGGAGCTAGGTGCGGGGGAGGAGGCGAAAGGGACCGTCTCCTTGCTTTCTCTGCTCCACGAGGAATTTAAGTTTTGAGAGGCAGCATTTAATTTAATTTGCTGTCTTTTTATTTCGGTACAGGTGCCCAGGGGCCTGCGGGATTGGGTGTATTTTTAATAAATCAGATAAATAAATAGAGGGAGACAGGGAGTGCGGAGGGACGGAAGCAGCTTTCAGGATGCTGGCGCAGGTGAGGGGGAAGAGGAGGAGGGTGTAGGGAGGGAGGAGGGGAGGGGAGGAGGAGGATGCCTGAGGAGAGGCAGGGGGAGGGGGAGGAGGGGAAGGAAGTGGAATGTGCAGCGCAGAGAATCTGTCAGAGTTTATAGCTCCAACGAAGAATCTCCTATGCACATAATAGGCTGATTTGGGTTTTTTCTTTCTTTCTTTTTTTTTGGAAAAGTGCTTCAGAAGCACATTTGTTATTTATATCAAAGAATTCTTTCAAATTCTGACCTTCCAGGCAAACGTAAGATGAGGAATATGTATATATATGCTTTTTACTATATATGTTGGAATGTTTTAGTGCCGTGTCTTAAATGGCAGGAGCAGGCAGGCTGGGGGAGGGGTGTTCCCACAGCCGCAGTGCCGGGAGGAAACTTCCTTTTGGTCCTTTGGAAAAATGAGTTTTCCTTTGGAGAAAAAGACCAACTTGCTTGATTTCAGGGAGGCCAGACCTCTTTATGGGCTCCACAGGGGACACGTGGGGCCATGTCCTGCTCCCACCAGTGCTGGCTTTGAAGGTGCCTATTTAGCTGTCTCCTCGGGATACAGGTGTGAGTGGAGAGCAATGGGCCTCACCAAAGGCTCATCTCTGCCCACCTATTTACTGCCCAGCCCGGGCCTGCGTGCACCTGCCCTCTGCCCCGCCTGGGCCTGCGTGCACCTGCCCACTGCCCCACCTGGGCCTGCGTGCACCTGCCCACTGCCCTGCCCGGGCCTGCATGTACCTGCCCACTGTCTTGGGTCTTTCTGCACCTGTTTACTGCCCTGTCCTGGGCAGCTGGGTGAGGCTGGCCTGAGCCCCCCGGTCACCCCACTGGACGATTCCTGTGAGACAGGCAGGGTCTGGAATGCCTAGCCTCCACCTTGAACTCTAACCCTTCCTACCCACCCCTCACTGATCCTAGTGACGCAAGAAACTCTCAGGGTTGAGACCTAAAGTCCTCGGCCACATGCGCACTGGAGGGCCTTGGGGCTGCGCAGCCCGCAGGTTCTCAGTGTGGCTGCGTGGAACCCTAAGGGCCAGGGCGCTTCAGGGAGCGGTCCAGGCGCGTGCCCCTTCACTGTTAAATGTTTTATACACGGAGCTTCTGTGCATTTCATTCAGACCAAACGGTCCTACTGCTACTTAAAAAGCTGAAAAATGTGCACATGGTCCAGCCTCTAAACCTCCTGGCAGAAATGAGCAGCGGAGGGGAGATCCTCCTGCTCAGGGTCATTCAGCGCATGCGGCAGGCTGGGCTGGAGCCAGCTCTCAGCGGTGGGTCCCCTCCATCCCTGCCCCTGCATCGGCGTGGCAACAGCTCAGGTGCTGGACCGAGCCCTCAGCGCAGTTAGAGTGGCTGCAGGAGGAAGCTGGCCCACACAGGGACTCCCTCTCTTACCTTCCCTCCTTCCTCCCTCCCTCCTTTGTCTTTCCTCCCGCCTCTGTCCTTCCTCCTTCCTCCTTCCTCCCTCCTCCCTCCCTCCGTTCTCCTCCTTCCTCCCTCCACACTGGACCTGCAGCTGGAGGACATGAGCTGGAACCCCAGCTCTGACATGACCACCTGCCTACTGCCCCACACTGAGGGGTGACTCTGAGATGTCCCTTCCCCTCTCTGGACCTCATGTGCCTGCATCCTGCCCAATAACCGGGGTGAGCATGATGCTGGGGTCCCCTAAAAACTGCTCCCACTGTGTAGTTCGAGGATCCCAGGGTCCAGCAGAAGTGGGGTTGCCAGTGCTGAGAGACCCGGAGCAGGAGAGGCGGTCGGCGGAGTGGACAGGGTCAGACCAAGGCAGATGCGGCAGAGTTGACTTTGCAGGCCTCGCCCTCTCCAGCTGACCAAGCCAGGGGAGGGTGGTCCCAGGGGCACTCACCATGGGCGCTGGTTTCCCTCCGGACACGATGCAGACCAGCGTGAAGTTCTGGGCCTGGTAGCGGTTGAAGGGGGCTGGCGCGTCTGCAGCCACCACTTCGATGGAGGTAGGAGGAGCTGCCAGAAGGGAAGCACAAAAGGAAAAAGGCTTAGCTGGAAGGTTCTGGAAGAATCCACCACCTACCTAAGAGGGGCCAGGCCCCATGCTGCGTGCTGGGGGCACATGTTGCCCCACCAGAGGCTGCCACTGGCATCAACCGCAGTGAGAATGTTGTCCCTGCTGGGGTCCAGAGAGGCCCTGCCCCACGGGGCTCACAGCCTGCTGGATAAGAGCCTGAACCAAGGGGTCACATCGTTCATGTAAGTGCACCAGGTGCCGGGAGGCGAACAGAGCGTAAAGGGGCACTGCCCAAGCCCGGGGAAGTGACGCTGAGCTGTGACCTGAGGAAGCAACATGTGCGGGACAAGCATGACAGGTGGCAGGAACAGCGTGCGCAAAAGCCTGCGGCAGGTTGGTAGGGGAGGGGGGCAGCAGGAGGGATGGGGGGCAGGCCGTGGTGATGGCAGGTCAAGGAACCAGGGGAATGTGCTGGAACTGGGGGCATGTGCTGGGCACTGACCGGGGCGGCTGACGGTGGGTCACGCTCCTTGGCTCAGGCTCCCACAGCCGCAGGAGAGCCCGCTGTGGCATTTTCAGGGATTTTGTGAGCCGGTTGTTACACGGCGGCTCGAAACGGGCCACAGAGGGTGTCTCTACACCATGCAGATCAGCCACAGCTACAGAGCAGGGCTTCTTTGCTGGTGTGTTCCTCCCCCTGCCCCAGCCGCCGGAGAGTGGGTTTATGAGTGCACCCCTGGGCCGAGCTGTTCTTCTTGGTTCTGAGAGCAGTGGGGAGCCACTGAAGGTTTTCAACAAGGGCAGCGACGTGGTCTGAGCTGCATTGTGAAGAGACTGGAAGCAGAAGTTAGGCCGGAGAGATAGCTTCGCCCATGGCGGGCAGTAGGAAGAAGTGGCCGACACTGACAGGCCCTGGGCGCCAGGAGGCTTTGTTCTGGGCGCGCTGGCTGGTTGTGCTTCGTCCTGCCTGCCACCAGCTCTCCTCACCAGCTGCCACTGGCCGCTTTGCCAAAGCCAGGGCTCCAGGTGCCGTGGGAATGGGGACGAGGGCTTATGGAGCCATGAGGTACACCTGGGCCCAAGTCCCAGCCAAGTCAGCATCGCCTGCATGTCCTCGGGCAAGTGAGCTCAGGCCCTCCCGGCGTGGCTCAATGGTTGAGCTTGGACCTATGAACCTGGAGGTCACAGTTCAATTCCTGGGCAGGGCATATGCCCTCATTGTGGGCTCGGTCCCCAGTGTGGGGCATGCAGGAGGCAGCCGATCAATGATTCTCTCTCATTGATGTTTCTATCTCCCTCTCCCTTCCTCTCTGAATTCAATAAAAAATGTATTAAAAACAAAACAAAAAACAACTGTGTGCCTCAGTTCCCCAGTTAATGAAATGGGACTCATCCTTGGCAGCCATATCTGAAGAACCAGCTAATCGATAAACTAGGGCTTACGTGGCACGTGGCAGGAATCCCCTATCCTGAGGTTCCTCCTATTACCTCCCAACCCCTTGTAATCAGCCCCAAGGCCATCCTCTGAGAACTTCGCTTGGGAAAGCCTGTCGGTTCTGGCTTATCCGGCCTCGGTCCTGAGCTGTGGGGGGAGCCGAGGAAGCGAAGAGGCGCGGGCCTTTCCTTCCGGCTGGGGGTTTCCACCCCAGTGAAGTTTAATTAAATTCGACAAACATTTCCCGACACCTACTAGGTGCGGGGCGTGGTGCCAGGTGCTCGCGGTAGGCGCCCAGCGATGAAGCAGACACCGCGAGGAGGAGCTCACGGCAGGCGGGGGCGACAGCCGCCTGGCAACTCTATTTTAAGGTCTAGGGAAAGGGAGCCAGGTAGGAGCCATTCATTCATTCGGGCCGCCACCGCGTGCTGTCAGCGGGGGAAGCAGAGACAATGGGAGACAATGGGAGAACAATAGGCGGAGAATTGTAATTAAGTGTAAGATGGGATGAAACAGATGGTAAGTGGGGTAGGAACTCTGAGGGGGAAGAACGCATCCGAACACTCCAATTACCCAGGAGTCGCAGATTCCACAACCTAATGTTTCTAGAACTACCCTGAAAACCTGGATCCGGCAGCGAGCGCCGGCAGCGAGCGGCTCAGGCTTATGAGCCAGGAAGCCCTTCCGAGCCCTTGTCTGTGTTCATTCATTTAATTCTCACCATTAGTCTAGCTCACAGCGGTTCTCAACCTGTGGGTCGCGACCCCTTTGGCGGTCGAACGACCCTTTCACAGGGGTCGCCTAAGACCATCCTGCAAATCAGATATTTACATTATGATTCATAACAGTAGCAACATTACAGTTATGAAGTAGCAACGAAAATAATTTTATGGTTGGGTCACAACATGAGAAACGGTATTTAAAGGGCCAGAAGGTTGAGAACCACTGGTCTAGGAGGTGAGGTTATGTATTCCCATTTACAGATGAGAAAATGAAAGAGCTGAAGCAACCTGCCTGGGTTCAGGGAGTCAGGATTTGAACCCGAGGGCCCCAGCTCCAGAGCCTAAACTCGGACACGAAGCTGTGCTACCCGACCTTCGGGAAGAAGGAAGGAGCTGAGACCCACTGGCACCCGAGCCCCAAGTACCCCTGTTTGCCGCCGGAACACGCATTCACCGGGCACATCTCCGCCCCCATGGATGCCTTAAAGCCGGCTCCCTTGAGAACTGCTCCTGAGGGTGGCTCTGCTTAACGCGTTTGCCCCAGAGATGAAGGGACCATGCCAAGTAGTCTGGCATAGAGCTCTGGCACCGCTCCTGATGGCATATGTGAGGTGTAAGTACACCCCCCAAGATTCCCAGAGGCCCAGAGCTAGGCGGCGGGCACCTTCAAAATCACTCATTCATCCTTCCTCGCTTTCATGGAGCAAACAGGAAGCAGGCACCTAGAACCTTCCTTGTAGGATGGCTTTGAGGAGTACCTGAGACGATGCCGACAAGACGCCTGGCACACAGGAAGCCCGCCAGGCAGGTCAGCAATGTTAACTCATATTATCTGTAATACAGGGAGGTCGTCTGGGGCAACGGTTAACAGTGTGAGCTCTAAACTCACTACCCAGGGTTCAAAGACCAGGGTACCACCCCCGGCTGCGTGACCCTGGGCATGTTACCTAACCTCTCTGAACCTCGACTTCCTTACCCGCAGAATGAAATTATAGGGTACCTGCGAGGATTCAGTGAAGCAGTGCCTGCAAGCGTTTTCACAGTGCACCCAACCCATGGCAGCTGCCTTTATCCGCAATATTATTTATGAACATCCTTTCTCGGGGGCTCCTTGCTACCGGCTGGGAGAACAAACCTGGTCTCCCACTTTGGGGCACCCACAGTTCGATGAGGAGACCGGAGAATGCCCCGGCCTGGCCCTGTTCAATACAGTCATCACCCACCCCGTGTGGCTCCTGAGCACTGAGGTGTGGCTTTTTCAAGTTCATATGGGCTGTAAGGGCAAAACACGCACGGAATTTTGAAGACAGTTTTAAAAAGAATGTTAAATACGTTATGAATATTTTATATTGGGTACCTGTTGAAATAACATCTGGGCTATGTTGAACTTAGTAAACAGATTACTAAAAATAATTTCACCTTTACAGCTTTTCTCAGTGCGGTTATTGGAAAGCTTACAATCACAGATGTGGCTGGCACTGTATTTCTAGTGCACAGCGCTGGGTCAGACCTTCCATTTACAGGTCAGCAAACTGAGGTCAGAGAGAGGGAGAGATCTGCCTGTGGTCACCCTGTAAGTCGATAGCAAAGCCTGGACTGGCCCCCTGGTGTTACCAATGCAGGCCAGGGTTCTTTGCGCAGCACTGGTGCACCCCCCCTCCCCCAACACACACATGCACACACACACACACACACACACACACACACATCTGCGTGCACACACATCCCCATTCTGGAGATCTGCACCCAAGTCACGCACGCCACCCACACAGACCCTGATTGGGAGCCCTGTTCCCGTCCCTCGTTATATTTCTGAGCAGGTGTTAGCAATATGTACAGTTAATCAAGCTCATAAGACAATAACAGATTTCAGTTGTATGGACGATGACACAGCAGGGCTGCTAATATCAGCATGGACAGCCCAGGCTCCCCACACTCTGCCCGTCAATGTAGTCCGCAGGCACTGTGTCCTAGAAACATGTCGCTCCGCATCTCGCCTGGCAGGGCTCTGAGGGCCGGCAGTCAGGGGGCTGCCGACACCTGGGCCCCCGACTGCTTATGGATGCTCCCCCACGTCACTATCAGCCTCTCCCCTCCCTCCTTTCTTCCCCTTCCTTTGATTACAAACAGCACTCTTTCCCCCACAACCCACTGCTTTGTAGGACTGTCGCCTGCAGCCTTCCTTCACTCTTAGTCTTCCCAACTATATCCCATCCCCACCTCCATCCTCACCTTCATCCTCACCTCCATCTCATCTTCTATTTCCTTCTCCACCTCCATTCTCACCTCCATCTCATCTCCTCTATTTCCTTCTCCACCTTCATCCTCATCTCCATCCTCACCTCCATCCCATCTCATTTCTATTTCCTGCTCCACCGCCATCCTCACCTCCATCCCCTCCCCCTTTCCAGCCCTATCTCCACTGCCATTCCCTTCCCCATCCCTATCTCTACCTCCAGCTCTATCCTCACCCCCAACTCAATCCTTATTTCTGTCTCCATCCCTTCCCCAACCCCATCTCCATTCTCATCTCCATCCCATCCCTGTTACAACCTCTGATCAAGGTCAAAACGAGCAGCCCCCTCACATGTCCTGGGATAGGTTCCATGGCCCCAGAGCTGTGTCCAGTCGAAGGCAGATGGCCAGCTGCAGGCACCGGCCACTTCTTGGACAAGAATAATCCTGAGTTCCGAGCCGGGCTCTGGAATGAGCGTATAAAGCAGAGCTGCCTGGTGCTCTGGGCAAAGAGTCACCAACCAAGGCCCCCGGCTCACTAATGTCCCCCCAGCTCTTCTGCGACAGTGTCCAACACCCCACTGTGAGTGCCTCGTTCCCGGGGGCT